ACTCATTTGCAATGCAAATTATGAAGTCAATTTGGATGTATGGTATTCAATTTTGAGGTAATATTATGAAAATACAAAGCTTTCGGTCCAAAATTCTAATTCTAATATGGGGAACACCAAGGTACGTTCATAACTAAACATACATAAAGTTCTTGGTAGTCCATTGGTTAAGCTTTAAGTTGAAGTTAAATTGAGTTACGAGGAAATGCAAATTCTAATGTCTTTATGTTCCCTTCAATTAAGTCATATACGAGCGGAAGAGTAGGAGTTAAATATTATCCCTGAAACTGTAACCTCATAGCCAGTAGCACAGCTGCTCCATATTACACCCAGAAAACTTCCTTTTCCCGGTTGCACTATATGTTTAACCCGATTTCTGTCGACTCGCAGCGCCTTTGTTGTTATAGTGCTCATGGCGTCTACTTTAGCGAGTAAGCCGAGGTTTGATGCGGCACCTCTTGTTTAGTGTCGTCCACCACTCAAGTGCTTCAAATGTTAGCATGGGTCTTACGAAACTCTCACACTCAAGTAAACCAGATTCGGAGCGCTATGTCGGGGACATCCCTCGAGGTATAACTTAGCAAAGATATTAAAGCTAAGGTTTCTTAAAACTCTGTCTCATTTTTCGACAATTGCCAATCACACTGCCTAGACAACTCACAACACAGACGCTAGAGCAAGGAATGAGCAAGGCATCCATAGCCCCCCCTACGGTAACTCAATGCTCGTAAGCCGCACCAATCAAATTTTAAATTTTTATAGCAGAAAGATATCAAACCGACTTTTGCAAAAGTTTTTTACTACTGAATCCAATAAAAAAGAACTTAAGCTCACATGCAACGAATCAAAGTAACAAAATATTTCAAATGCACGCAAGAGCAATAGCGTTCATTCAAGTTCTATATCTGTCGATTTATAGAAGCGATTGTGACGGTATTGAATGCACGAAAAATGTACGCCAGTTTAGTGGCCATAAACATAGTAAATGCTACGTGTCAATTTTTACCGCTAAATTCATGCCACAAGCTTTTTGCAACGACAATACATTATACGCTGTTGCATACAACAGAACGACCGTGCCACATGCAACACAATTTGAATGGTGTGGTGTTAGTACATTACGATGGCTTAGAGACTCGCACAAGCTTGCGTACATACTCATATGTACATGCAGGAGCGGTTATATACCCAAATTTCAAAGCACTTTTTGGCAGCTGGAAAATCGGCGTAATATTTTTGCAATTCAACCTACATGCGTCGACGTTGACTGCGCTATACAAGCGGTGGTTGGCTCAGCCGAAGGTCGGACCTACACCACGGATTGTGTAGACATCAAATTGATTCGCCTTCTCGGGTTCCCCAACGCTATTTCCAATGGAATTCAGCTTAAAGTGCCCACTCAAAACAATAGAGGCTATAATACTCCACTTCTAACAGTAAATTTAACGAGAAAGGGCGGGCGAAGGGCGAAGCGGATGTGTGCCATGGCATTTACTGCTCAAGTCAATTTTACTAAAAGCCAACTGAGCTACTATTGTTGTTACTTGGCGTTTATTTGTACATTAGTGTGTGTGTCTGTGTGTGCGTGAGTGTATGTGCGTGTGTGAAGTTTGGCTGTCTTTTTCAATTGTATCTTATGCCAGGCTGTTGGTTGTTGATGTTAGCCACTATTGGACGGTACAATGCCCTTTCTAATATCACACACAGACGCACATTAATGGGCATACATACAAACAATCTGCGACCATTTCATATGTAAGTAACGCAGATTTGTTGCTATTATATTACCATGACTATGTCCATATTTCCATTTGTCTATTGCAGTGTGCTTGTGTGCGCGAATTGCCTACGTCTATATTAACAGCAGCGATGGTGCATATAACGGACAACCATTGTCAGCCAGCTGACGTCTTGCCACAGTACCGTGGGCTGAGGTAGTTGATGCGAAAATTCGAAGTATGAAAAAAAAATTTTAATAAAGAGTACTGAAGAGAAAAGTATCTTTGGTCTGCTGTGGCTATAGACAGTTAACAGATCTTAAGTCCCGAAGCCTCAGTAACGACGTTATAGATCATCGAAATATGCGAGTGGTGCAGTTCTGGAAGCTCTTCAGAAATCAGTCCTCTTCCTCAGGAGCTTAGTAAACGGACATTCATCCGATTAATTTTAAAACTATAGTTGTACTGGCACAATTAAAATCCTTTAATGCTGTTGACGTCTACTTTTCCGGATATGAGCCCGAGTCCCCGCACGACACTAACCACCTCTTTTCAATAATATCCCTTTCCCTTTGGTATGAACTCATCAAAACAATAAATTTCTTGGGCAACACAACCCGTGTGTCTGGTAGTGAATGAAGGCAAGACGATATATCTCCTGTCATCAAACAAACAGTCATCGCAATCGCGATAATAAAGTCAGCCTTGAAATCCGAGGCAGAATCACTTTTTCCAACAAGTACTACTTTGGACTGAGCAGGCAATTTAAAAGTAAAGATCTCTTTCGGCGAATAAAGCACAAACTTTACAATCGCTCATCATACTCGTCCTACTATATGGGGCAGAATCGTGGACGAAGTCAATATCGGATGAATCGGCCCTGGGAGTCTTCGAGAGAAAGGTTTTGCGACCGATTTATGGTCCTTTGCGCATTGGCAATGGCGAATACCGCAGGCGATAGAGCAATGCGCTGCGCTGCACTGGCAGCCGAATGAAAGAGAACACTCCAGCTTTGAGAGTATTCGATGCAGTACTCGCTAGTGGACACAGAGGAAGAGGAAGTCTTCCAATCCTTTGGAAGGATCCGGTTGAGAGTGATCTGGTTTCACTTGGTATTTCCAACTGACGCCAGACAGTGAAAAGAAGAGAGGAATGGCGCGCTAATATTGATTTGGCTATAATCGCGTAAACGGGGCCTGCGCCAATAAAGAATAATACGTCAGAAGTAATATTCCTGAATTGAGAAGGGTATTGACTTACATATTCACTGGTTGTCTCTTCTTTCTTTAAAAGCAGAACGTATGAGTATGATTAGCTTTTAGAAATACAAGAGTCAGCCGGACGGTCGTTCAACTCCTAACTCAGTAAAATTCCGGACCTAGTGGAAGCGTTCTGGCCCCCCGTCTAACTAGCTAAGCCGATTTCCAATAAGATTTTCAAAAACTATAGTAGCTCAGCCCGCTAAGCAGCAGGGATGGAACTGTAGGCGCTGTCCCAAGTTTGCAAGTCGTTATTTTCTTAAATATCTGTATTAAACTGGCTCCGATTTAGAAAATGTGTTCGGCAACCAGTTTTTTTGGTTACTCAATATATCTCTAGAGCCACAACGATAGTGGGTATACTTTAATGTCGCTTCTATAATTACCTATCAAGTAAGTCCCGAAGTTGAAGTGTTAATAATACTAAGTGGGGGCAACGAGGTTCCTACTACTGGAGATGCGATAGTTATGTCTTTTTGTCCTAAAGTGGCTTCCGTGCTCAGACTTCGCGATTGCCAACTACATTTTCCGTATCGGTGGAGTATCGAGAGCGAATGAAATCTAACTATCGATCGAGTTAGTCAAGCAACTCAATGCTATCTTTGTTAGATATTTGCTTGGTCTATAAACCATTAAGATTTTATTGAAAAACTTTCTTGCTGTTGTCTTATCCGAGAAAAGTATTACACTAAGTATTGCGGAATCATGTACGAGTCGCTGGCCAGACCCAACTGTCGCAGGAACTATTGGAGCTCAGTCGCCTCTTACGACAGGCATGCTCAATTTTGGGAACCTCAAGCCGGCATACCTCTCTGCACGGCCTTAACAGTTCTGAAAAGACTGACCGGTCACTATCTAGTTTTCTATATTAACTGCGCCTCGCACACCCACCGTGCCACGTGCACAATTCATGCAGCAATGCCATTCAACTGGCAAATTCAACACGGTTAATGCCGGAAATGGAAAATGGAACGCCAGACTGTGCAGCCCACATCCTACGTGAGATTTGTTGTTGTGGCGAATGTGTGTATTTATCAGGCCGTTTATGCAGCGATTTCTTATTGCAATGCTGACTATTATTGTGTTGCTAAATACTTTTGTTGTTACTATTGTTGGAATTTTCATTCCACTTTTGGCTGTTATACCCACTATTTTCAAGCATTCCACTTGCATATGCTCTGAATTGCGCTGTACTTGATTGGGTGTTCTGTTTTTATTTTTTTAATTTTTTTGAAAACCTTCAAAGCGTAACGGCATTTCAGTCATACTGACCGTCCACATCTGCGCATCCATCATGATTTTAGTACCGGCAGCTATTTTGCACAATTGAATGAATGGAATTTTCAGTTGTGTGCTGAGCGAACCAATGCGGAATGGTCAATTTGTTAGTGTGGCAGATTTGATGCGTAATTACATAAACATTGACAGATGGCAGTTGAGCGGTTTGCTTGGTCGACTCAAGTGGGCAACAGTGCGTATGAGTAACAATATAATTGCGAGATCATAGAAATGAATGTTATGGAAATGCAATGCTCGTTGGTGGTGAATGCAATTCGCGTTGTTAATGTAATAACGGCATTACGGAAACCTAATTTAGTTGTAGAAGAATTCTTTTCACTCTAGAACAAAATAAAGTACGGACAAGCTCCAAACAAAAATCGGAAAATATTGACAACAAATTGTATTAACAGCTGCTGATCGAAAAGGTAATTCGTAAAAAAAAACCTTAATGTCTCTCCAACATCCTTAAAACAAAATACTCATTGAATTATTGCTTGAGACCGTTTTATTCACACATTTTACACACAGTAGTAATTTGTATTATGAAAGAAAAAGTAATAGGTTGAAGCAATAGTGGAAGTGACATATTTTTAAATTTTTCTTCTTTTCAGTCATTTTTTTAGCTTATTGTTTAAAATTTTTATTTGTTTTATAACTTATTATATTGTAAAAACTGGTTACAATATTAAAATATTATAATTAAGAGAATACTCATATTTAATTATGAAAACCAATGAAAATATTTCGTTAAATCTTCGTATATTTATAAGGATGGAATTTAATATGTAATATGAGAAAATGGTACTCTTGAAATTGTAACTTTAAGTTTTAGCTTTATATATCACAACAATGAGAGTTAATGGCATATGACTCTTATTTTTTAATGCATATAGTTTCATAACTGTAAAAATACAAAATTTATATTGCGCTCTGGATATTTGTGCTAATAGCAAACAACAGTTTTTCATACTAAAGGAGAAGGTTTCAATAACTCGTTTGTCACTTTACAATTAAATATAATATATTTCATTATATACATTACATACATATGTACCTTTGTATAAATGTATGTATGTACCGACAATCTTTGGTTAAGAAATTATCAAAATTGTTTTGAAATTCAAAAAAAAAATATACTTATATTTGCAAATTCGTACGAATACTTTGCATAACGTTTTTTGACATTTAATTTATATAAAAAGATTATAATCCGATTTTATTTCACTTTTTTCTCTCCTTTCAAACTAAAATTTTTAATTCATTCATTTTCACTGCTCAGCCTTTCACTGCTCAACCTTTCCGAATTGTGACCGCAAGTTTTCTCTTGCTAACCAGTGCTCGGCGCTTGCATCGTCTACTTATAGTTACTACCAATTGCACGAAGAATTGTTATCATTTGGTAGAAAACAAAGTTTTTTTGTCGCGCATTATCAGCACCAACATATGCGCCGCTCATTATATGGCTAACTTAATAAATAAGTATGTATATATATATATATAAGTATATATTTATATAATGTATATTTCGCATTACTGCATTACGTTTGCAGTTATCTTCGCATTTATGTATGTATGTATATAAATAACTAACTACGCTTCACAGTTCCTTAGTATGCATTATTATAGTTGGGATTATAGGGTGCTTGCTTTTCGTATGTGTTGCTTGTCGTATTCGGTTGAGCCACACCAACACCGGCTACAGCAGCATCATAACTGGGTGGATTATAGTTTGCGGCAGGCACTGCTGGTGGATAGGGTTGCATGCTGTAAAAGAAAGAAAATTAAACAAATTAGCATAAACACAAGGCAAATAGCATGAAATTATGTGATAAAAAAATAACTACATATAAGAAAAAACGCTTACCCAGGTGCAGGTGGATGCATGCCTGGCATAGGCATAGGCATGGGCATTTGAACGGGACCACTGAAAGATGAGAACAAGAAAACGTTTGGTTAAAATTTCTATGTTAAATACAACTCTATTGTTTTTGTACATTTTTGCATTTTACTTAATTATTTAAGTATTGCCTGACTTACCCTGCTGACGTTGGATAAGGAGGATACATTGGCTGCTGTTGATAAACGGCGGGAGGCGGCACTTGTGTAACTGGATAGCCGCCAGGTGCTGTGTGTGTGGTTGAGGTCACCACAACGGGTGCTGTAATGGAAACAAATAAAAAAAAATATAGAAATTAATGAGATGCAATTGAATAAATACTAATTATTTTATTTGTATATAGACAAAATAAGCGTTTCTTAATATTATACGAGGTTTAAATTGGACTATGCATGGAGTTTGAAGCTTTTCTTGCCAACGTAAAATCAAAAGTAAAGTACGGAATTTATCTGTATATGCATTACTAGCAACTCAAGTGTATGCTATAAGCTTTGTAGATATATTCGTACAACTTATTTGTAATATATGTATATGTAGAGCATTACCACGGAACACACGTCCTCTATTTCTCTTTTCACATATTTTCGGACGAATAATTGTTAAAGATATTAAAATAATTACAAGTATAATTAAATTAATAATGAAAATAATAAAAAACTCAGTCATATTCGTGCATAAATAGGCAACTTGTATAAAAAGTTAATAAAAAAAATATTCACTAGGATCAACAAATAAACACTGCACAACACATCAGATCAATAGAAACTAAATAACAGTAGCAAGAAGTCACAAAGAATGTTGTTTTTCAAATACTTTTGGTAGGCAGCACTCCATAAAAGTCGCAATAAAAACTTCACAGATAAGCTTATATGGCAGATAAGTATAGGAAATTTGTAATGGTAAATATAATATTTATATTGAACACATTTATTTTATAAGTTCTGCACCACACATTATTCGCACTAAAATAGTATTATCCACTTATCAAGCTGATGTAGTGCTCAAAATACTATTATTGAATGCCAGTGATCCCACCTTTGACGGAAAATCCATTATTCAGCAAGTTACGTTTGCGGCCACGAAAATGAAACGTACCCCAAGCGACTAAAGCGAATATGAAAAATGTTATGAACAAACTAAAAGCGGCGCCATTGAAATCCATTTCAATTTATAGTAGAAAATTAATAACTTAAAAATTTTAATAATTCAATAAGAACGTCACCGAAAAACAACTTAACGCTGAATAATTTCAAATAGAACTAAAACAATATATGATACTTGCTAACGTATTTTCAATGTTGTTTTCACATTATAATTAACAAAAAGAAAAGTGATAAAGTCAATAATAAATAGGAATGATAAGATCTCAACCTTTGGTATAACAAATGCGATTGCTATGAAAGCGAATTGTAAATGGGTATTGGGGACAGGTTGGCGGCCGCGATAGCAAAGTAGTTAACAACCTGGCGGGGAGTCAAAGTTTCGCATACTGACCAGATAAACATCCCAGACTGTAGGGAATTAATTTAAAATTGTTATTATTATTACTTGCGGTCGCAACAGTCAACAGGGAATGTCACCTACGTGTCTATTTCTAAATTTAAATATTATACATATGTATAAAGCCGCTGAAGCGAATTTCGGCTGAGCTCCTCCGCGGTATGCATCTTGTTGTTTTCCAACAAATGGAAGGACTGCCTCCGTACGACTGATGTTCTTTTTATGAGGAGCCGTTATTTCACGTCAGAAACGCACTCGGTGGGCTTGACATTCTCTGCCGAAGGACGACCACAATCAGCAAAATTATTTTTCTTTAATCTTGGATGCTGGTCGAACCAGGACTCGAACCGTGGTCTTCAAAATGGCAGTACGCAAATGCTAACGATCGGCAATTCGAAGACGATTTTGAATTAACGGTAGAAGCTTCTCTTTAATGGAAAAACATTAAGCCACATACCAAAACTTGTAGGAAGAGCTCGGCCAAAACTCGTTTTAGCAGTTATAAAACACCATGCTTGGGTGCAAATACTATTTCGTGTAAATAATGACATTTAACACTACTGTTATAAACAATTATGACTCGTAGCAATTCTGATAACATCTTACAAAGTATTAATATATTTTTATTTACACAAAAAATAGCACACGACGATTGATTTACTGTAGTTGTTGTCACGCTGTAATAGCCTGCTAAATCGAAATCGTTTTCAAGTACTTTAAAATATTTCGTAAACTAGTTAAGAATTATAGATTAGCTATCATTAGCATAGTATCAATATCGGTAAAGGTAAGAGAAGCGAGCTCTCAACTTTTGGCCAACAGTAGCGAAACATATATATTACTTGCATTAAAATTTTTTATTATTATTTAAGAATTATTTAACAAAACTTAAAATGATTTAAATAAATGTTGATATTGTAAATAGTGTTTTTAGGAAGATTAATTCAACAGAAATCTGGTAGCAGCGCAGAATTTTTTATTTAATTTTTTTTTCTTTCTTCTGTGTGCATATTCATAACAATTTATTTCTTATTAACTTAATTTACTGAAATTTTTGTAGGGTTTTTTTGGAGTAGTCAAAAAGATAGCTGCGTTTAAATTTTTTACGAACATAAAATGATTTGATTTCAACCCAAATGCGAGCACGTATGCATAGATAAGTGCGCCAAGATTTTAATAGTAAACTAAATGGTTCACACAAACTGTAATTAGAGCAATATAATTAATTTAATGGCATTAAAAAAATTTTTAGAGAAAATTTTTTTTTTTTTTTATTCTGACAAAGAAATCTTTTAAGTTAAAATTATAAATATTTATATTTTTAAAGTTAATAATTTAATTTTAAAACCTTAAAAGGCTAGTTGAGGTTTGTTTTTTTATTTTTTAATATAATTAAAATATAATTTTATGGGCAAACGAATTTATAGCAGCAAAATCTATTGAAAATATTTCAAAAAGGAGTCTTGAACATGAAAAGTAGATTGATAATGACCATCATAATTAGATATTAGAGCAGTAATGAGCTTTTGCCTGTATCAAAACTTCCAAAACGATCAGAAAACCCGGGTTCTAGTGAGGAACTTTAGACTTATCCAAACTAAAATTGCCAAAATTCAATGAGGGAAATTTGTAGGTTTACAAATACGGCAGCGAATAAAGGATAAGGCTTTGGAAGAAAACTGTATGAACATGAAAAGCTAGACTGGCAATGTTTTGTGAAAGTTGTTCAGAACTTTCTGGAAAAACATAGGCCCGAAAATTTTAAAAAATTAATAAATGAACTTATAATGTCATATACAGCCTTATAGCATATGCTGGACATCCATTTGGATTTCTATCAGGCAACTTTGAGTGCTGTAAGTAACGTACAAGGTGAGCGGTTCAATCGGAACATTTCCATAATGATAAAACGTTATCAAAGGAAATGGAGTACAGGATTAGCACTGAACAATTAGAAGTAGATGGAGCAATTCTAAGTACAATATTTTTTGTAAGTTAAGCAATAAATTTTTTCTAAATGAAGATTTATATATTTGTTCTGAATATCACAATAAAACTACACATAGGGTTTTTTATATACATTTTTACATATTTTTTCATGGACACATAATTTTTTTGGTAACCTAACACATTCATTTTATCTAAGTTGTTATTTTTATTGATTCATTTGTATCGTAGAAATACTAAAAAAAAATCTAAAAAACGCCAGCAGTTTCTATGTAGGTTAGACATTTGGGAGAATCATTGGAAAAAAATATTAAATAACACTTGAGTTCTAAAGTTGGTCAACCCTCATCAATTTCTATTGCAAGACTGTTTATAATTATTTATTTTTATTTTTATTTTTTTTTGCTGCTATCGACTTGAAAACAATATTTTTACTATTAGCAAATATCACTCTTTCCTACACGTAAATTGAGTGTTTATGCTCTTAGTCTCATATACGTACATATGTATGTAAATATGTACTGTATTTGAATGTTTGATAGTATAAAAATATCAATAGACATACATATATACATAGTGTCACAGCTCATATCATTTAAATATATGTGTATGTATATACGTGCAAAGTCTACGCTGCGACACGTGCTGGTCAGATGTTCACGTCACCTCAAACGAAAGTAATAGCGATTACATTAGCTTTTCAGTTTATATACATATATACAAATCAATTCATATATGAATCAGTTTTTTTATTTTTTTACTATCAATTCAGTTAGTAATAGTAAAAATAATTGAAAAACAAATTTGAAAAGTACATGCATGAGCAGACACCTTCAGCAGCAAAGCACTATCTCTAAACCCCGTAAATCTGTTTATGACACACACCAGTGATAAAAGAGGGTAATACCTATCGTAAAAAAATCAGGTAATCTCCACTTGGGGTAACGAAAATCGCACAAATCTTCTTTCAAATGAAAAATATTGACAATGCACTTATATAGAGAATGTTTTTCCAAATCCTACTGATTTGGCTTGATAACACAGAGCAACAAAATTTAAGAAAACATAGATTTTGTGATTAAACGAATGCGAAAACAGTTTAACAACATTAGATCAAATTCTTAAGATATTTGTGCAAAAAAACAACATTACTTTTTAAGAGCAGCGTCATAATTTTTGCATTTGAAAATTCAACGTCCACCTTGCAAATTTGACTTTTCTGGTTTAAACGAGAACTCTATACGAGCATTAAGGGGCACATCTAGTGTGAAATTCCTAAAAAAAATCGATCTTTTCATATTTCGGTAGATTACACTTTTAAAAATAACATATTAAAATTTCAAATCGATTTCTCTAATAGTTTTTGAGTTATAGCAGTTTAAGGTGCAGACGCTCGGCAGCTAGAGAGTCTCATTAGCTAAGAGTGAAAACGATCATTTTTTTAAACGCGTTTTTCTGGAAACAGCATTTTCGGAATTTGCTGCAGTGATTACTCAAAAACAAATGATCCGTTCACTATCGAATTTTTTTACATGTTCTATATATAGTTCTCCGTACAATTACCTATCGATTTTTGATCTGATCGAAAAATCAAATTTCGGCAGGCCAAAAACGACCAAAATTTTTGGTAAAATTTGACTATTTTTTTTAAAACGCCGCCATGTCAATTTTTTATTTATTTTTATCGTCGGTCATTGTACAGACAATATTATCTAGTAGAGAATTTTTTTTTTAGATTTCATCCAAGGAGAAGACCGGAATCTCTGCAGCAGTGAAGGAACTTTTTTTCGCGCCGTTGGAGATCGATTATAACT